AATTCGTTAGTGTTTTTATTATCGTTTATCACCTTTGGATTGGGGGGTATTTCCAACTTCCGGCAGCTTATTTCCGAGTTCTCGTATCTTATTTCCGGTCTCAGCAGGAGTTCGATAATCCTTGCTAAAATCGCAAAGTCTTTTCTTCAAATCGTCTGAACTACCAGAACCGTCTGTTTCAGCCTCAGCCTCGATCAGCCTCAGCCTCGATCAATCTAGCCTCAAGTTCGGCTTGTGCCGCATGATCTCTCGATTCTTGTATGCGACGCCTCTCGGTTTCTTCTCTGGCAAGACGATCGTGCTCGAGTTTGGCTTGTTCGAACTTAGCAAGTCGTTCTCTTTCGATGCGCTCAAGTTCCTTTCGCCGCATCGATTCATCTTCTATTTGTTTGGTTTTCAGTTGTGCAAGCTTCGCTTTTCGCCGGGCTTCGGCTGCTCGTGCTGAAAGTTTCGAGGTAGAAGACGTGGTCGATTTTGCGTGTGTGCCTAATTCCGAGACGGAGGGGGGTTCATCTTCGCGTTCATCAAGGTGTTCGTATGCTTTTGCCACAGTTTCGTCTGCCTTTTCGGCCATTTCCACGAACCATTTCTCGTAGATTTGTGTTCCTGTTCGGGTAGAAGTTCGTAAAGCTTGCGGTTACAGGAATCTGCGCTCTGGACTTGGTTTTCTATTTTTGTGACCTAAGCTCTGATTAGCATTCGACTCCCCCGGTTTTTTATTAGTTTGCTTAGCTTTGTTATAGAACGCGTAACGCTGGATTTCTCTTGCGCTCTTTCTCCTTTAAGGCCTTGTATCTGTGCGCTCCGGTTGATGGTGGTATCCGTCGTTTCGCTGACGGGTTGTATGTCTTCTGTGTGCGCGTTATTATCGTCCGTGTTTTCGCTCACACAGGGCAGACATTGCGTATCTTCGTGAGTTGACATTTTCACTTCATTTCAGGAGATGTATATACTTCACTGAGTCAAATCCGGCTCGAATAAGGACCAATGTTATATCTCGATCGATGCGTCGAACGTTGTAAATTCAAATGCGAGACGTGGGTTTTATTTTATACATAAATTTATTTCACCAAAAACCAGACAGCATGCTTGACTATAAGTCTCGAGTCTCTCGGTTTAAAACCTACTCGTATTTCACAACATTTAACTAAGCTATATAATATAATATGCGGTGTTGACAAGTGTTGACAAATACAATACAGTTCGAGTTCAACCCCTTAGGGCTTGTCGCTCAAGAGTATTATAACTAAGATTAATAAAACTAAACGTATATAAACAGGGTCGTATCGTGCGGGCGGAACAAGCACTTTTGGTCGGATTGGTATGTTCAGCGAGTCGCGTCTGTAAACGTCTTTCTGTTTTCCCAATATACGTTGTGGAACACCCAGGACATGTCACCTCATAAACTACATTGGATTTCGAAAGATTCGGAATTTTGTCTTTGTTGGAAAGGAAATAAGAAAACTTTTTGTTGTCGTAAACAACTATAAAATTTACAGGAACAGTTAGGCATCTTTGTATTTTCTTTATGCAACTTTCAACTAAAGTTTCACCTTGTTTACTAAGGTATGGAACGCGAACCCAAACCTTAGGCCTAGTGTCATTTTCATCAAAAAAGTTAGTGTGAGGTCGATCCGCAGAAAATTTGTTTTTTAGTTTGGATATCAATAAATTCCTGATCGCATGAGGAAAGCCATTCCAAGACATAAACATTTTAAGCTTCTGAACTTGGTTATCAAATAGTTGACTGGTACTGCATAATTTGGATATGCTCGGTGAAACAAAGACTTAACCCACACAGTTTTACGTGAAAATGGTTCAAAACTAGAAAAATGCGTGTATTGTCCAGTGTGCATACTTTTGTAGTAAACATCAGTGTTATCCGACGAAATCAAAATGTCCAAAAAATGAATTACATTATCCGGAAAGGTATCAACTGTAAATTGGAGATTTTTGTCAAAACTATTAAATTTTATCAAGAACAGCAGGAATATCCGAAGGTTTTATAAGCACTAGAGTATCATCAACGTATCTTCGGTAAAACCTTATGACACCAGATTTAATTAGATCCGAAACAATAAGTTTTTCAAATTCCGAAAGAATGATGTTAGCTAGCACAGGCCCCAGTGCAGACCCCATAGAAACGCCGTCAGTTTGCTCAAAAAGTTGATTATTAAATGAGAACGCGGTTTTAGTACACGAATCAAGAATTAGTTTTTTCAAAGTCCGTTTCAAAAAAGTTGTAGTAATCAATTTTTCTTCAAAAACGTGATCAAGAATGATTTTGACAGTTTTGGTTAGCGGAACGTTTGTGAACAGTGAAACAACATCAAACGAAACAAGGCGATAACCTTCTGAGAAAAGCTCTTTAGGTATAGATTTTATTTCCGAAACCGCATGAAATGAATCATGAAGAGTGTACTCGTTTTGGGCTAATGGATTTAATAACTTAGCAAGAAATTTTCCAACGTTATAATGTGGTGTTCCAGTTGTGTCAATAATAGGTCTAAACGGTGGCAAGTCGTTGTAATGTTTGTGGACTTTGGGAAGCCCATGTGCTCTACCGAAGTGTGCTGCTTTAGGTCTAAGAAAGTCATAGTCAGATTGAGAAATTTCACCACGTTGTAAAAGAGTGCATAAGAAGGACTGTAGAGAGTTTAGTCTAGTAGGCGTTGGGTCAGTATCAAGTAATTTAAAACGTGAAGCGTCAGAGAAGAGAGATGTGACAGAGGAAAGATAATCACTGCGTTTCATGACAACAATGCCATTACATTTATTGGGTTTTAAAATGGATAGGTCTTTGGAAAGTTCAGTTAGTGTTCTGATTTTCTTTCTGTCTGTGTAGAACTCGTGCAAATCTAGATCGATACAACTGTAGGTGAAGGAGTGTAACGAATTCTTGATTTTATCTTGTATATGGCGTCCGTCTTTAAACTTATTGAGGTGAGCGATTTGATCCCAAACATCTTCCGATACAGCCATTATTTCAAATTGGTTAGGTCTTGTTGCTAGTCCATGTCTTAATCCAACTGACGCTGACAATAACGTTTCCACTTTTATTTCCAACTTAATATCTGACAACTCTCGAATTCTTCACACTATTTATTCTCGCACACCTAACTTGCTCTTGTTGCTTGAAGCTCTATATATCAAGTATCATTCACCAGTTAAACACTGGCCTCAAAGCCAGCAAAGAACTCAAGCTTTTTTCTTAATCGATACACCCACATTTCATCACAATAACATCTCACTGCAACTGTTGTGGTTCTGATTGAGACTTCGTTAAGCTGTCATCATGCCTTGCCAACTTGTATATAAGACCATGTGTATATTGTAACTTTAGTTAGTCTGATGATGATTTTGTAATAAAATCGAAATATTACTCACTCACTTTCTTGTTTGACTCATATTTTGGGTTTCAAGATGCTTATCTTCGGATTATGTTTTAGAGAGTGTTATCTCACCAGAAACTGCATTTTATACCTATTCCACACGTGATCGAGCCATTCATTACTATTTATTGATCCTAGCTTGCTTATTGTTCCATATTCTATCTTTGCATATCATTAAGAGTGTTATGAATAATATAGTATAGTATAGTATAGTATAGTATAGTATACAGGGTGTCCCAAAAAAAAGTGACACTCTAGAAATGATCCTATTGTTATAATTTGAATGCCCTAGCACTAAGTTGATCCCACAGGTGCATAAACTTCTGCTTCTGGAATTTAAAATAAAAAACAAACCGTTTATTAGTGTAATCGTTTTGCTTGACTCGGGCATTAAAAAATTTGGACAAAGCGAAAACGTTTTAAAATGCTTAAATATAAATACAAGTTCATTAAATTCCCAGGGGTGTAATCACATGCGTTTAAGAGCGGCTTAAGAACAATGAGATAATTTCTATAGTGTCACTGTTGATCCCACAGGTGCATAAACTTCTGCTTCTGGAATTTAAAATAAAAAACAAACCGTTTATTAGTGTAATGGTTTTGCTTGACTCGGGCATTAAAAAATTTGGACAAAGCGAAAACGTTTTAAAATGCTTAAATGTAAATACAAGTTCATTAAATTCCCAGGGGTGTAATCACATGCCTTTTTGAGCCACCCGAGCTGACAATCCAGCAGGCGAACTTGAGGTAAAAATATATACTAATATATCCTCGTTGTTGTTTATGAAATGTCGTCCTTTCTTATCATCAACCTTGACATAGCGATATGTATTTTGTACACTATACAGCCCCGACGATATTCTCAAGTTATATCCTGTCTATTTGTGTATGTGTCTATTTGAGAACTCACCACGTGTATATTTGGGTGAAAGTTCGCCTCAATTCTACAGTATACGATTGCCTGAGCGGACAAAAATCAACTCAAATATTTGGCTGAGAATTCAAGTCTAGTCTGAGCGAGAGTTTGCAGACAAGAATTAAAATATTTGGGTGAGAGTTCACCAAGTTTTATTGTACACAATAGTCTGAGCGAGAGTTCGCGGAGAAGAATCAAAACATTTGGGTGAGAGTTCACCAAGTTTTATTGTATACAATTGTCTGAGCGAGAGTTCGCGGACAAGAATCAAAATATTTGGGTGAGAGTTCACCAAGTTTTATTCTATACAATTGTCTGAGCGAGAGTTCGCGGACAAGAATCAAAACATTTGGGTGATAATTCACCAAGTTTTCATTGCATACAATTGTCTGAGCGAGAGGTCGTGGATAATAATCAAAATATTTGGGGGAGAGTTCACCAAGTTTTATTGTACACAATTGTCTGAGCGAGAGTTAGTGGATAATAATCTAATTATTTGGCTGATAATAATTCACCACATTTTGTGTATATTTGTCTGAGCGACAGTTCGCTCACAAAAACATGAATATTTAAAGAGTTTACCAAGTTCTATTAAAAACACTTGTCTGAGCGAGAGTTCGCGGACAAGCATGAGACTATTTGTGTAACGAGCTCAACAAGTTTTATTGAGTTTGTTGTCGCCCTTCACTTGCGATTTCCATATGGTGTGCATGGTTGATTTCTGCATCCAATTCTATTACCCGATGCCTTTGAATTAGTTGAAAGACTTTGTTTCAATTCTTGATAGATTTTAGACGGTTTATCATGTCCTTTATGAAACTTATTTCTTCTATACTACTGTAGTATAGTATAGAAGTAGAATAATATTTGGAAATTGTTCCCAGAGGAAGATGTAGTGTATTAGGAATTCATTATATATAATTTATGTAAATCAGTTAGTATATAAAGTGTAGGCACATGTGAATAAAGTATTACAACATTACTACACTTGTGTCAGGTAGAAGAATAAATGGATTTCATCTGGTTTGTGATTCCAAGCAAAACGGATGCCTAGAATACTACCACCCCGCTTGTGTTGGTTTAAAAGAGATACAATAAAGAGGTTGCTGTAAAATATATTAACTGTTCGGACGGTATGTCCTATACATGCCCCCTTTGCATTGAGAAACTTGGGCGCATGAATTGTTACACAATGGCAGACACTTACCATCAATCAAATATCACATCAGGAAAGAATAAAACAGTAGACAGCATTGTGATACCATCACAAGGGGAAATGAAGAAGTATTCATCATCTTCAAATCAATATAAGAAAGACTTACCTGCTTCACCTGCATGCAAATTAAACTGGGACATTTCTATAGATGAAAAAGGAAGTTCTTTTGACAATCTAGGATATAAATCAGACAATAGAATATCAAATGAACAATATGACACAGAAGAGCAGGACACTGACAGAGATTGCAATAGTGAGGAAGATTTTGAAATAGCAGTTGAAGACAATCTACCTATTGAAGAACATGAATTGAGTACAGAACCAAAGCAGGTTGACAATGAGAACGCAAACAGTAAGTGAAGCTTTTTTCACATAACCATATGGCCAAGAACAACATGATGGAAAAGTTAATGAATTGTTGTCCGATGCCTCAACAGATAATGAAGACAAACATATACCAGTTCCATCAATACAAAAATAATGCAAGTGTAGATGGCTAAGACCCTGAATTAATGTTGAAAAGAAACAATTTCAAAGAAAATTCGTATTGTCAAGAAGATGGAATGCCTACAAGACATTCTAAACATGACATAATCAAAGTCAAATGTGACAGTGAATGCAATTCATCCCAATCTGAGCAAGAGTTAGACAAATGTGAAAGTAAACAACGGATGCCTGTTCCACTCGATATGATACATAGATTGATGGATTATCCTGATTTACGAAACAAAATTCATTCTTCTTGGAAAACCCTCCAAAAACCTCTGTCTTTAGAATATCAGATGATGAATAGAACAAAATACGACCACCGACTTTAGAAAAACCAAACACATTAAGACATCCATGGACTGATATTATGGCAAGATACATGAAAGAATCAAATGACTTTGGTACATTTCAATTCCAACGACATTACATTGCAAAAGAAAATTACAGAAAACGAAATACTGTCATAGTGTTTTCTGCTTATGGCAAGTGCATATTTCAAGATTGCTCGTGTATGGTTTGAACTGGCTATGAAACACGATGATTCCGCTGAAAAAAAGTTATGATTTTGTACAACGGGTCCATAAAACACTTAGCGGGCGAACGCCAGTCTAGATTCATCCAGAATAAGGAAAACAATGGCAAATAAGTTTCATAAAGGACATGATAAACCGTCTAAAATCTATCAAGAATTGAAACAAAGTCTTTCAACTAATTCAAAGGCATCGGGTAATAGAATTGGATGCAGAAATCAACCATGCACACTATATGGAAATTGCAAGTGAAGGGCGACAACAAACTCGAATGGACATTATATAATATAGAATACACACTTTTCTCGGATTACTCGAAAGCTAATATTCTTGCAGCTTTGAAGGAGTTCAACGGAGAAACTCTCAATGCTTTTCTTGCCAGAGCCTTTAAAATATTACAGAGGAAAGCCGAAGTAAATTATTTCAAGTTTATGATACCACACACCACCATTTCATGGCTATAATGCATCGAAAATTAAAAGGAATAATTAAGGCTTAAAAGGAGCAAATGCAACCCAAAAATCAAGATATCTGGTATCGTTTTAACATGTACTGTGTGTCATTACTAGTAAATGCAAGAACATTGGAAGAGTTTGATTCCATTCTTACACACATGGCAACATGTTTATTGAACGATCAAACAGACTCTGTTCACTCATTATTAAGTGGTTGTGGGACATGATCCATAACATGGAGAAAAATTTCCATAATTCGAATCAATTCAACAAGATGTAACAACTGGAGATCATTCAGAAAGTGATGAAGATATTTCGAATGGCAATGCAAATGGAAACCCATTTATAGCTCATTTTGAAGGTATCATTGAAGAGGTTTTGTTATCTAACACAGAAATTGATGAGGAAGAATCAATTACGCATGATGCAAACCAAAGCTATTGCCCTGAATTTTGCAATTTTTTGAAGTCCTATTTACACAAGATGCCACTATGGTCAGGTGTTTTATTGGGTTCTCTCGACCGTTATTTAGATAGGGACAATTTGAAAGATTATCCCTACTTGTCATTCAAATCTGTAAATGCAAAGACAGAAGGTTATATTGAATGTGCAATGAAAAATCTAAAACAAGACGATTTTCCTGGTATATCTCGATTGAGACCTGATGCTTTCGTTCTTGAAAATTACCAAAGGATACGAAGGAGAGGAAACGATTATGAGAGAATTGCGAGTAAGCGAGGACAAAAACGTAAAAAACAACGAAAAAGAATTGAGAGCACAAGATGTGATATTAAGAAGAATAAGGTGAACAGCAATAAGAAGAAAGAAAATAAATTTGAGACGAAGGAAAGATGTGAAAAGTTTTCAAAACCTGCTAAAAATCCTGCTGTTAAAGTAAAGGATCTCTCCAACTCAGATGAAAATGCTGAAACAGAAAATAATTATTCAACTGTGTAAGAAACCTGGGGAAAGAAGGACCCACTTGCGCCTAAACGAAATCCTAAAATCGGCCAGTTTCAACAATCTCCAACCATACCATTAAGTAAAACTCCTGAAAAATAATTTGAAAAAAATTTGAAAAAGAAACCATCTTCAGCATTTTTCAATTTTTTACACAGCCGAGGGAAAAAACATCAAGCAGGGAAACGTTGGAAAATCCCTGAACTGGCTAAAGAGGCTGGTGAGTTATGGTGACATTTGCCACAGGAAGATAAAGACAGATTTAAGGAAACATCCAAGAAACAAGGAACTAAAGTTAAAGAATTTCAACCAGGACAAATAAAGAATCCATCAAAAAAGGGACATTTAAATTAAATGAATAGAGAAAATGGTCAAAGTGTACAATCAAAAGGTGAAAGAAATGTATCTTATCCCAGTTCAAATCAATACAGAGGGCTGATAAACAAAGCAAATCATTGCTGGATGAACTGTCTAGTGCAATGTCTAAATGCTTCAAATACAAAAGAGTTTCTTTTCTCTCTTTGTAGCCCAACAATTCATCCACTTATTGATGCTTTAATAAATACACTAAAGAAGCTTAATGGAAACAATCATCAACACTTCCCTGGCAAGTTATACAAATAATTTATTAATGAGTTTGGTTATGTTCAAGGACGGCAGTACGATATCCATGAGAGTTTGACCTCATTATCTTCCACAAGTCTATCAGACAACAGCAAGATTGCCGATCTTTTTTCAGGTTTACATCAGTATAATAAAACCTGTCTAGATTGCTACAAAAGAGAGAATATACATGCCGAGAAATTTTTCTCTTTTTTTATTCCTTTGGATCAAGATATAACAAACCTTGTAGATAGTTTATATGACAGCCTCACAGAGGTTGTAGAAATGTTCTGTGAAGTATGTAATAAGCAGACAGACCACTTCAGAAATGGTTATCTGTTAGAGTTCCCAACGACCTGGGTGGTGACCTTTAAAAGATTCCAAATAGATGAAGATCAGAAAGAGAAGAATCCCGCTACAGTATCTCTACCCTGGCACTTCAGCCTCAATGCTGGCGAAAATCATCGATATTACAACTTGACATCATGCGCATTACATTATCGACAACGTATTGACTGTGGACATTACACAGCTCTTGTATTCAATGATAACAGTGTGCTGGAAATCAATGACACGGTAATCAAACAATCAAAGAAATCAAAGAAAATTTTCCGCCTATGGGATGTATGTAACAAAGATACGAAGATATGTACAATGACAAAAGATGGCTATGGATTATATGGAAAGGACTTGAAGTCGATCTTTTGTGCCAGTTTCAAAAGTTTTCTAAAATCTACGTTAAAATTACTATAGTTTTGTAGCAAAGACAGCTTTGGCACAAGCGTCGTCATTGAGAAAATTGCGAAAAAGTCGAATGTTGGGATAGCTGACTGGATAAAACAAATTGTGGAATGTTAGTTTCCTAAATGCGGTTTTATTGTGCCAGTTTCAAGAGTTTCATGGTTAAAATCTACATATAAAATACAACCACTACGTAGAAAAGACATACAAAATTGTAGCATGCACAATATGATCGAAAAACTAATCACTGAAAAACAAGTCGAAAAAGTCCTTAGGGGAAGCGTCTAAACCCAACCCATGTTGAGGACCAAAGTTGGCAGTAAAGTCTTCAACACTAACACTACTTAAGTTATCTTTCCATTCAAAAATATCGTCAAAACCATCGCTACTTATCTCGCTTTCACTCACACTATCGCTGTTGAGTTCTTGAACTTCGATGTCCGAAAAACCGTCAAAATCCTCTTCTTTTTTGTCCGAGTTGCCCGCTATGTCTCGCCATGAAACTGTCAATGTTCCCGCTTTTCAGTTACCCCACCATTTTCCCTTTGGCCCCCACCCCTGCCATAAATAATGACTGGTCCCTAAATTAATTGCCTACTTTACACAGTTTCAGCAGCATATTTTCTGTTGCCTGTTGTGTATTTTAATTTTTTTTGCACCAGGGTCATAGTCATTTTACTTGTTGCACTTCTTCCTACAAATGTATGTGTATTGCTGTCGTATATGCCTGCAGTGCTACAACGAAACCAACAAGAAATGGCAATTATGTATGGCAATATGTGGCACAGGGATACAGTAACGCTGAAATGTTGGGGTTCCTTGGCGTTATTCATGGTGTTGCTACAGGAATGCTCACCTTGAAATGCTAGCCTGAAAACAGACCTATGTTTCGCCCGCCCTAAAATTCGCCGGTCGATGGAAAGGGCGAAACGTAGGTCTGATGAAAATCGTGTCAAAACGCTGTGGAATCCTACCGCCAGGCGGTCGGAATAGCTGATTAGATAATACTCGCCGATACGGTGTTTGATTGGTCGGTCGCTTACATGAAAGAATAAGATCGGCCAAGGTAACAATGATAATTATGATATATTTTAATACTAAATCAGTAATACGAGAACATGTTTGGAATTTACACTTGTAGTTTGTAAACAGTGTGAGTGTTGCTGGCTTTTTATTTTAAGTAATTTATTGGGTTTGGAAATGCAGAAGGACGAATTGTTTGATAAAGCATTGGCCTTGTCTTTAACTAAGTTCAAATATTGTTCTTTAAAACAAGAGCAAAAAGCGTGTGTCAGAAAACTTGTCGTAGATCGCGAGGATGTGTTTGCTGTTTTGCCAACTGGTTATGGTAAGAGCCTTATATACGAGGTATTACCATTTGTTTTCTCCGAAATGAATCGCTTGGAATCGAATCAATGTGATGATAATAATGTTGTGATTGTTGTTAGTCCACTGGAATACGTCCGCGTACAACAAGTGGAACGTTTGAAACGAATAGGAGTTCGTGCAGTGTTTCTTGGCAATTCGTTAAGTGAAACACATGGTTTATGTTCAGAAGGATTTGCCCAAGTGTTATACGGAAGTACTGAACAATGGCTATCGGATATGTGGGCTAATAAATTGAAGCAAGGTGAATTAGGAAACGTTCAAGTGTTGGTAATAGACGAAGTCCATACTGTCGAGACAAGGTAGGTAGTATTCTATATTAAAATTGCCATTTGTTAGATTCTATTTATAAGGCCTACTAGGCCAATTATTTCCAATTCATCCTGCAATAACAAATTTGTTCTTCGAAATTTTCGAAGAACAAATTCGTTATTGCAGGATGAATTGGAAATAATTGGCCTACTAGGCCTTATAAATAGAGGCTCTATAAATAGAGCACACTAGGTCCTAGTATACTGCAATATGCACTCATGTGGAATTTTCTCCCTTTTGCCATATCTCTTTTTAATAGCATGATATATATCACTACATTCTGCTTATGCTATGTATAACTTACCACCTTCTTGTCTTTTACTAGGGGAACAAGTCGAAAAGGTCAAGCAGCATTCAGAGAGGCATTTAGCAGAGTGTCTGAGCTTAGGTCCTTTTTGCCTGGGGGGACACCAGCTCTTGCTCTCACAGCAACTGCTGGTGAAGACATGAGGAAAAGGCTGGCAAAATTTATTGGCTTTCCAGGAGAGCACTTTAGAATAATTGTTAGTCCCAACAAGAACAACATTCGTTTTACTATTATTAAGGCTGACAAACATTTAAACTGTTTAAATTGGTTGGTAGAAATGATTAGAGACAAGAAAGAACACACACCATTTACGCTAATTTTTTGCCAGGTTGTCAATGACATTGTTTTCATTATGAGTTACCTTCTAATGCAACTTGGCAGTTCAAATTTTTATGTCAGAGGGAACACACCTGAACAACAGTCTTCTTTGGTAGGTGTGTATTACTCTCAAACTCCACAGAGTCTCAAAGACACTGTTACTACATCATTTGAAGGAGATGGATGTACACGAGTTGCAATTGCTTCATCCTCACTAAGTATGGGTGTTGACTTTCCTAATGTGAAATATGTTATTCACTTTGGACCATCTAAGTCATTAAGTAGTCAGTTACAAGAAGCTGGAAGGGCTGGCCGTGATGGTTCAGAAGCTTTTAATATTATAATGTATCTTCGAAAGCACATACGAAACTGTGAGAAGCAAGTAAAACATGCTATCAAATCTGGTGAGAAGTCATGTGTGCGGCAAGCCCTATTATCTCATTTTGATAAAGATATTCAACCTAATGTGCCTTTGCATGCATGCTGCAATACTTGTTATATGATTTGCAAATGTCATGGAGACATGTGCCATTGTTTAAGTTTGACAACGCATCAATTGAAGAGGACATTCAGGTAACACCTATTCGTACTTTGTCAGAGGATGACAAAAAATGTTTAAAAAATGCACTGGAAGAATTACAAGGCAGTTTAAGATCACAATCACCTGTGGCTGTACTGAACTGTGATGGTTCACATTTGTTTGGTCTAGATACTTACACAATCCAAACAATAGTAGATAATGCAAACAACATATCTGGGATTACTGACTTATGGAAATACTGTCCATTTTCATTGATAAAGCTTCTGATAATGATTCTTGAGGTTATGGGAGAAATGTTTAGTGACATTGAAATTCCTGATGAAATATACAGTACATCACTGGAGACAGAGTCCTTAATGAATCAATTAATTGGAAATCTAAAGCAGAATGGGCCATTGGTTGACGATGAATTAAGTGGAACTTCCCTGGATGAAACATTCCATTTATCAGAAGAATGGTTATAATGTATGTGTTTTTGTATATGTAGGGTGGGAAAAAACACTCCCCCCCCCTTTGATTTGATGTAGATAGGGAGGTAAAAAATCTATTAATATGTTCAAATAAATTTATATTTTGTATTGAAAGTGGGAATACTCAACTGTTTTACTTTTTTACTACATTAAACCAATGAGGGTGACTTATTTTTCCTACTGTATATTACCATATTACTCCATACTACAAGAACAGCTAAGCCAGACATTCTTGTTCAGTTGTCTAGATCAGGAGGGAATTATTTCTCAAAAAGTTAAATTGGTAGGCTCTTATGCAGGCATCTCTTATCAATGGTTTATAATTGGGCTTGGTTTAAATATTGTACACTCAGGCTGTAACATTGATAAATGCCATTAGAGATGCCAACTGAAGAGGCTGTCAAATGGGGTTGTAACTTCCTATTTCCAGACTGTGAATGTAAATTGGATCAATTTTGGAATGACCCTGTTAATTAAGGTATTACGATGTATGACACTTAGTGCCTTTTATGTTGTGGTGACTCATAAATTCCTTCCCAATGTTTTATTGTATTTCTTGCCCAAGCAAAAAAAGTCACGATAGTCACTGCCAATAACATCTTTCTTAAAGTTTTGAAAAGAATTGTATCCTTTCCTTCCAGGTTTATGCTGAAATACTTTCCCTGCGATGAGATCCTTAACAATTATTTCAACAGAGGATTTTGGATCTTCTCCACCATGGTGACCACTTGGCTGTTTTTGTCTGCAATCTTCATGTACTGTTTTCATAATTGTGCTAATGGTATACAATGACCGGGCATTTCTTTGAATTGTTCGTTCTGTCAAGTGTCCTCCACTGTTTCTTGTCAATTGCTTTAGCATTAGATTGAGGTGCTCCATATGCAGATCAAGGGGAACATTGTTGCCAATTCCTCCAACATAATTGATGAATCGATTATTGAGTAAACGAAGTGCCTCATCTTGGGATAAAACTGCATAGAATTTGACAAAGAAATGGAGCAATAGGTATGCATATTTTGTATGGCGATGTTTGTATTCAAATAACAATGCGAACTTAAAGCAACGAAGAAGCCTATAACCATCACCATGTTTGATGGCATCTTCCAAATTTAAAAAATATAACCCAATTTGAAGACGGGACATGTGATAATTCCATACAGCATCTTCCCTCTTTTCATTATTTTCATCAGTATCTGGTATTACAGTGTATATAAATTCTGGATGCTCTTTCTTTTCATGCCTGTAAAAACAAAATTAAAATTTTTATTTGTTGAGACCAATACATGCAATATGTCACTTAAAACTTAAAGGGAACTGGCAATATATTTTTTTATTTTTTCATTTGAAAGAACTTTGAAGATTATATTTATTTATATATAATGTATTTGAAAGAACTTTCAAGACTATATATAAAATTCTTTTACTGTTGTTTCATATCTTGCGTACTTCTACAAATATTTTGATCGAAAGGAATGAAATGTCTGCCATCTTCAATTTTTGTAGAGGGGGGCATTGTCAATAACCACAGTTTTTGGGCCCAAAATTGCAAATACTGGCATGTACTGCAAGTTTGTAAGGTATACCATACTGTAAATCTGAATGTCCCCCCCCCACCCCCACCCCCCACCCCCCCTTGTAGACATGCATGTTGCATCACAGCATTTCTATCTACAGTAGACAACCAGTAATCATTTTGCACTATCTCAAAACTATACTCTAGAGCTCTGTATGCCTTTCAAAATGTCAAGATAACTTTGACATGCATCTATACCAATCAATATTTCGTCAGCAACAAACACTTTTATATGGTTAATTCCTGTTGTGACATATACCAAAACTACCGTTGAGATTAGAAATTTATCAAAGATGGTGGACGTCTCATTACTTCAAATGAAAATATTTTAAAAAATAAGCAAGATATGAAAAATAGGTAACAGAAGTTAATATACATTTTCAAAAGTTCTCCCAAACAAGAAAATCAAAATCTATATTGCCATTTCCCAACCAATGTGTTATGACTGATCTCCACATATCTCATTTTAGGGTTTATTAATTTTATTTTGTTATGCATTATTACCACCTAAGCTGTTATAGGCCTTTGAGATCATTTCATAATGTATTTATCGTGGGGTCCCCAGTAGAGGGTAGTATGTAATAATATTGTTAAGTTTTTATGATATAATGTAGAACAGTACAATTTTTTACATTATACACGTACCTTTCTCTTGTTGCATTTGTTGTATAAACAAGCCCACACTTTGCATGACATTTGTAATAGCCATATTTGTCCCTGTTATCACAACCACCATCTTCTGTTTGCAAGTTTTCATGGTTCTTTTTCTCATGACTATAGACAATGAATAGAAGAGGAATGAAAACGTTTTACACTAATTTGAATAAATCATGTTTCACTTGCCTATATGATACCACTGTACTGTCAGTAATTAGTTAGTTAGTTAACAGAACTATAAAATAGTGTTTGATCCTTGCTAAATCCTTCAACAGACAATATTATACAATATAGTATTGATCTTTTCAGCCCAGTCTCAGTTGGTCATGGCTCTCCTCTTGATGTGTAATAATTGTCCGGCTGAGAAAACCATATTCTCAATGGACCTGGGTGAAAATTGTAATGAATCATACCGTATTCTTGTTGAGTGCAGAGGGAATATTGCTTCACATCCATTTTCACGACATGCAAAACCATTTCTATGTTGATCATCCAACTTGACCACATTTTCTGACATGTCATTGTTCAGAAATACCAAATCTAAAAATACATGTGTTTCTTTTTTTAACCAATCTGCAATCATTTCTTTATCCCCATTTGCGATGTGTTCTGGGATAATTCTTGCTGTTGGCTCACCTTAAACAAATATAAAATTTTGTCAATTAATAGCAGGGGCATTTTAAAGGGCATTTACACTGTATTAAATTAACATTATGAAACAATGTCTCTGTGAATGTTGTGATATATGCAATGTGTTTGACAGTTCTTATGTTTCTGTGGTTATATCTGCTTACTTTCAATTGATTCCATACCAACAAATTCCATCCACCGACTGATGACATGTGCCTCAGTTTCTCTCACAAAGAAATCTTTAAAAGCATTATAGTCTATATCAGGCCCTTTCTTTGCATTGGTCTTGCCAGTCCTATTCATAGAGGAACACATTGTGCCAATTTGAGCGGAAGAATCTTGCTTAAAATAGACATTGTGGCAAATCTACAAGATTGATAGAAGTTTTGATAGAAAAATAAACCCATTAGCTGGCAATGTCCGGATGGCCATATACTCTGTCTTTCACCTATTCTGGCTATTAAGTCTTTATAACATTATATTAGTAACAGTAAGTGATTCTGAGCATTCACATCCATGACCATATACTACTTGGTACCCCCCCCCCCCCATTTGTACCTGATACATATTCTTCTTTAAATGCCAATCGGCAAATGATGGTTCAAGGCCCTCTAGGCGTTCTATTTCATTATCAGCAAGAACATTGGCCCAACTTGCATTTCTTGCTCGCTCTTTAGTAAGTTGGTCTCCATCAAATATAACTTTTTCCAGAACCTTGTTTTGGTTTTGATCAGATGGAACATAATCTCTTTGCACTTTGTCACATATTTGTGCCATTTCAGGAGCTTTGTTTGAATTTTTAAAAATCATCCCCAGTGGACGCTACATAAAAACAACACAAGTGTACAGTACTTTCTATAGAAAAATATAATTTTCAAACAGTCAGATTAGCGTCAGGAGGCCACAGTTTCAGCTATACAAAAGACAAGTAGATTTAATAAAGATTTTAGATTGTATAAGGAACATCTAAAAAGTGGAAGCTAACTGGAATGCATGATATATGTACCAGGGCTGGAACTACTGGGGGGTGTGAACATCCTCACCCCAAAGAATAGTAAAAAATTAGGAGGCCCAACTTGTGGAGAGGGGCAATTGAAACTGAAATTATAGAACATGTTAAAAATTTAGGAATTATCTGGAAAATTGAGGTGCTTTGTTTTCATTGACACCCCCC